TTTAAAAAATGTATAATTGATATTGTGTAACAGGAAGTAAAGGTCTAAAGGAGCAGGGGAAGTGGGAGGGGTAAGGGAAAGGAAAGAAGGGAAAAGAAAAAATATGAGAAAAGGAAAAAAATGGAAACAAAGTCTTTGCAAATAGCCAAGGGTGGAGGGGATGAAGGGAGGGCAAGGGAAGGGGAAAAAAAAAAGAACCAAGAGACTCATGTAATGGTACAAGATCCCAATGGTGATTGTAACTGTATTTTATACCAAAAATGTACCAATAAACTTAATGGGGAAAAAAGAAAAGAAAAGAAAAAAAATATGAGGGGACTTGCCTTACTAGATATTAAAATAAATCCATAGTAATATTGGGATGCTTGTGCTAATATAGATACAGATTAGAGGATAGAATAGATAGTCTCATAAATGTATCTTAATATTTAGCCTAAACATGATATTTTAGTGATGAGTTATGCAGTAGGTGGTATTGGTACAACTAGCCAACTAACTGAAAAAAAACTAGATTTCTCCAATATGGTATATATATGTGTGTGTGTGTGTGTGTGTGTGTGTGTATATATATATATATATATATAGTTGTTTATTTTTGAGACAGGGTCTCACTATGTAGTTCAGGCTGGCCTCAGATTCACTGTGTAGCCCAGGCTGGCCTCAAACTCTGGCAATCCTCCTGCCTCAGCCTCCCAAGAGCTGGGATCATAGGCATGTACCACTACTCCTGGCACCCCCATATATCTTATACCCAGATATAGCCTAGATAAGTTAAAGATATAATTTTAAAATATTAGAAGGAAATAGGGGTAATTCACATGTTTTGGAGGAAGAGAAAGTCTGACACAAAGGACTCAAACATAATGGAAAAATTATATAATTACATAAAGATTTTATATCTTCTGTTTGGCCAGAAAAAGATTACTATAAACAGTTAAAGTCCTTACTGTATAAAGAATTAAACAACAAGAACAAAAAGGTAAATACCCCACTAGAAAATGAACAAAGGATATGATTAAGTAATTAGAGTTAGAGATAAAAATAAATGTCAAGAAAAGTTTATTATTTTTAAAATGTTATATTTCATGATAATAGTATTAATAGTTATCAGTAGCTATTTTTTTTACATTTCTGTTTGAATATGGTAAGTACTTTAACAGAGTAGCTAGTTCAATTCTTTAAAAGGTAAGTTTTGTAATATCATCTTATATATGGCCATTTAGACAGGTGATTAAGACCCTTGCCCTAAATGACAAAGATTGTAACCCCAGTCATCTGACTCTAGAATCCTGTTCCTCATCACTTCTCAAGAAAGTAAATTATAGCTACCTAAAATCTGACTCCAACTTACAGAGAAATCAATTTCTCAACATCACATAGCTTATAACGGATAAAGTGAATTAAAATTTTTTAGGATAATATAAGCAAAGTGAGCAACAAAGCAAATGTATCTTAATTTTACAAATTCACTATTTCTTTTCAGAATATTTAAAAGATGCTTCAAAGAAAATGAAGAATGGCCTTATGTTTATAAAATTGGTAAACCCATGCTCAGGTAAGCTCCCCTCCTCTCCCCTCCCCTCATTCTTTTCCCTTCTCTGATGATGATAACTTGAATGTTTTCAAACATTGTGGTCAGTGTATATGCCTCTGTGTCTTCTTTCTGAATAGCTTTTAAAGATAAAATGGCATCACCAAGATACATCATGTACAGGTACAAGTTCCCAATGATAAATGTAAATGTATTATATACCTAAAATGTACCAATAAAAGAATTTAAGGGAAAGAAAATAAAGTTAAAATGGCATCATGAGGTAACAAAAGCAAGGTGGTGATATTACTATTCTTTCCAGATAATTCATTTGACCAAAACATTTTTAAAGTTTCTTGTAATTTTTGATCCATGGAACTTTTCAGTCATCAGAAATGTTGGCAAAACAAACAAAAGGAATGTGTTTGAGTTCTCTCTGAAAACAGATGAATTTTCTTTGGCTTTCTTAAACCAACCTTAACCAACTTCTTAGTGTACTTATCCAACATTAGCCTCCATTTATATTCATTTTCTTTTCAAAGTAAAATAAACAACTAGAGTAAAAAGCCAGAAGGCTTTTACCTGACATGTCAAGATTTTGATTACTTTCATTTTTAGCTGTACTTTCCTTATTTTGTACTGACCAAAAAATAGTACCCATCAGAGGATGACTTTTTTTATTTGTTAAAACCGTTGTATATTGAAGAGATTCATATTTCATTGGAAAACAATATTAACTTTATGTTCAGTGCATCTTCAGTTTTATATTCTAATTTTTTAGGCAGAAATATTAAAATATACTCTAAAGACATAGTGACATTGTGGTGTTATTTGTGTGCCGTTGTTTTTCCATTAATTTATAGTTTTGAGTAGACACCTGGTACTTAGCAGATTAGAGCATTCTCCTCGTGACTATTGTACTTAATAGTGGAAGTAATGGAGGGCCGAGGGGTAGTACCTTGTTGGAGAGGCATGTAAAGAGAAGCAATGAGAGAGAGGTGAAAAAATTTTGACTTCTTCCAATGTTCTTTTCCTCAAAGTAAAATTGAATGTAATTGGTCACCTGTATTGTTTAGAACCCATAGTTATGCCTAAGCCTAAGTTGAGGTAAGAAATATTTCTTTGAGAAGTTTTAGATAGCAATAAAGGTTCTAAAGCATTTAACAAAAATACAGGTACAAAAGAAAGTCAGCCTTTAAAAATTTGTTTTATCTAAATGTCTATAGACAACCAATGAACAAATGTTTATATTTGCTACATTGACAGTGAAAACTAATGGCTAACATCTGGTGAGTACATAGTACAGTATGTGCCAAGTACTGTTTTAGGAAATTTACATGTATCCTGTTTTTTCAGTCCTTACAAAAAACCGATGAGGCAGACTCAGTATTGCTCCATTTTACAGAAGGGGATAGCAGAGGTACAAAAAAGGTTTATGTCATCTCCCTAAGGGTATATGCCCAACATGTGTTGAAGACAGATCCAAACTCAGAGTCCTTGACTCCAGACATTGTGCTATAGTTGTAAAAAAATTGTTTTTCATGGGTTGAAGAGATAAACGTGCAGATATTCACAGGCTTCACCCTCTACTATCCCTCCCCCTTTTTAATAAAAGAAAGAAACAGAAAAATCCATCCAGTTAAGTGAGTCTTTACTCCTTCTGTATGGTTTGAAGTATGTCCTCGCCTTTCTCACTTAGATAGCTGATGGGGTCAGAGGGCTTGGCCCTATTTGGTCTCTGCCTTGGAGACAGGGCCCCATTTGCCAGTTCAGACTACCTGGCTGAACTGTTAGGTTTTACTAGTTTCGGAATGGTTTTTCCCTCCCAAGCTGAAGCAGTGAGACTCTTTGTAGCAGTTAAGATAAATTACTTGCACATTTTACTTTTTTGGTTTAAATTCAGTGAAGAATACAGAGCTGGAAAATAAGCATCTGTGTATAATAGTCATAAGCTTTCCTTGGAGTCAGTTTGTATAGAATATATCTGTGCGTGTTTATGTTCGTATTAGGAACATTCCTCAGAACTGTTGGATAGTCTTTTGATGTTTGTGAGTGTGTGTGTGAGAAAACTTAGAAATAAAAAACAGATTTGTCTTTCAGGGGAAGGAGCCATTTACTTGTTCAATATGTGTCTGAAGCAGCTGTTCGAAATCAAAGTTTTCAAGGAAAAACACCATTCCTGGTTTATAAATGAATCAGTTCAGTCAGGTAAGTGACAAGTGTATATATTCCCATTAACTAAACATATACTTTGTCTTTTCTATCCTTCACAGCTGGGGTTATGGGACCATGCACCTGGCATGGAGCATGGTCAGTGGTGCAGCTCTCTTGGCAGTTGGCAGTAGAGGAGAGCTTAAATGAAAGATCATTTGAACATTATTTAATTACCTAATTCAGATGGTAGGAGTTTTTAAAGTAAGGACTCTGATTTATCTCCTAAAATACCAACATATACTCAGGCAGAAGGTAGGTTACCTTCTTATCATGGGGACACATTGTGTTAACTAGAAATTCTTTCTTTTGAGGATCTTCATTATTTTTTCTTTTTTTTTTTTCCTTCAGTTTTTATTTTTTATTAGTACATATTTGCATAATGATTACATTTCCTTCTGTGGAGTTGGTACATGTGTATAACATATCTCAATTTTCTATTTTCATTCCCTTTCACTTCCCTTCCTACCCCCTCCCTCCATCTCTAGATCCTCTTCCCATTTTGAAAAAGATCTGTCTCCCTTCTTCCTATTGTCTGTCTCTTATTTTCCTCTTAGTATGTATTATCTTCATGTTTAACACATACCTTGAAACTGGATACTGGTATAGCTTCTAAATAGGTTAGACTATACCAACATTTAAAAAATACTTTGCCATACATTATATATATAAAATATAATTTAAAAATTATTTAAAATTTAAAAAAATTATTACAGTAAAAGGCACATTGGTATTAATCTCCCTCACAATATCCCTCACACTTATCCCAAAATTCTTGCTACTTTTTGAAGCAGTTCTGGAAGTCCTTTTTCATGAGTGTCTTTTTGTGCTTTTGTGATTGCTTTAATGTCTTGAATAGATTTAAAACATTTGCCTTTCATGGTCAGTTTGACTTTGGGGAAGAGCCAGAAGTTACATGGTACTAGCCCTGGTGAAGAAGGTAGATGAGGATACACTATAATGTTTCTTTGAGTCTGCTTTTCCTTTGGATGGCACTCAGCAGCAGCATCCACCATTTTTTTAATCACATTTCATAAAAACACGCACAAAAGAGAACTTCTAGAACTGCTTCAGAAAGTGGCAAGAGTGATGGAATAAGTGTGTTTGAAAGAAGGGAGAAGTATTTTGAGAGGGATGAATGACAGTGTATCTTTTACTGTAATACATTTTCTTTTTTAATTTAAATAATCATTGTGAGGTTTTTTTTGTTGTTTTTTTTTGTACCGGGGATCAAACTCGGGATCTTGTGCTTTCGAAGCAGGTGGCGGAACCGCTGAGCTAAATCCCCGGCCCTAATCATCATGTTTTGATCGCCCTTGTAGAGCACCTCCACACCTCTGTACATACATGTGCATATATGCTATTGCCTATACCTATGTGCATGAGTAATTTGAAGCAGTTTTCAGTTGCCAAGATGCAGCGGTAATTTGTGGATATCCTGATTGATGGAAAGTATATATCATTGTTGTTACACTTATTCATTTGGCAATGTACAAGAGTAATTACATCAAATATAGCATACTTGCAGATGGTGTATCTAATAGACAGAGAAATATCCTAAGTTGGGAGGCAGTGATTAACACATTCACGAAATGGGACTGTGCATGCATGACTGTCCTATGTACACTTGGACCACTTGATAGGATTGTCCCATGCTGCCTGATGGGAAGTCATACATGTACCACTGGTAGTTGTAGTTGCCCGATGGAACAGTCAACCATGTACACCAGTGGTTCAAGCTGGTAGGAATGTGTTAATCAAATCTGTTCTGTATGGTCTTCATTGGTACCAGCTTTCTTTTTTCATTTTTTTTTCTTTCTTAATAGACTACTTTTTTACAGTATTTTATAATAGTTTATAGTAGTTTTAGTTTTTTACAGTAGTTTTAGTAGTAGTTTTACAGTGGTTTTAGTTTTACAATAGTTTTAAGTTCAGAGGAAAGATAATCTTTTTTTCCCCACCGTCTTTTTAAAAACTTAATCCTAAAGAAAGCTATTTTGAAGACTAGTCACCAGGATATTATTATTAGACCTAGAAACCTGTTTCTAATTTTTACATATAATAGATGCTTGCTATAAAATGAGCTTAGAACTACTGGTAGCTTATTTTCATGAACTTCTATTTCTTTGAAATGTTCAACTGTTGTAATATAAAATTACTTCCTTAATTTTTTTCAGCTTACTATGAAATTTAAGGTCACACAGAAAATTACATTTTACTGTAGCTATTTAATGCAAGTTTCCTCATGTTCCTCCACAGTAGAAGGGAGGAGGAGGGAGGCTCTATAAAAAATGATTTCTGAAGAGAAAAGGCAAATTTAAAATTTGATTTTAGTGTCTCCACTGTCCTCCTCACATAGGCATTTGAAGCTCTTTTGAGAGATACTGGTTGATCATGAAAGAATCTAGATTAAGTTAGTAATCTAAACACTTTAAGGACTCTGTGATATGAAGGAAAATGAGAACATTTCAAATGCATTTCTTGCTACTTGTTAACCCCAAGGGAAAGTTCCACAAATTGTTTTTTTCTTTTTTTTTTTTCTTTCTTTTTTTGTGTTTTTTTGGGTTTTTTTGAGACAGGGTCTTGCTTTGTAGTTCAGGCTGGCCCTGAACTCAATATACAGCCTAGGCTGGCCTCAAACTCGAAGTGATTCTCCTACCTCAGCCTACGGAGTGCTGGGATTACAGGTGTGGGCTACCATGCCCGGCAGCAAATTCTTAGGTATGTATGCTGCTGAGTGGATAGATTTCATAGGTAAGAAGAAGCTTCTGAATCTGGGATTGAACAAAAAATTTTTCACATTAGGATTAAGATAAAATGGCCAAGTTATCTCTGAGACATATAGTTCTTTGTGTTCTTTAATCTGCAGGCGGTCTCCTTCACTTTGCTACACCCATGGACCCTCTGTTTCTGCTCCTCCATTACCTCATAAAAGCTGGCAAAGAGGTGAGCTTCCTAGTTTGGGGTATTTACACTGAAGGACCAGAATAGATTGTTTTGCTTTATTTATCTTCTCTCCTTTTCATGGTTCAAATATGGATTTCCATACCTCCCCTTTAATTTGGTTATTGTAGGAAATGTGTATGGCATGTGCTAGCCTGGGTCAGAGCACCCACACACAGACCTGAGAAACAGTACCATAATCTTGATCCAATTCAATACTAGCTACCCATGACCCCTGGATTGCCTGTGACTGCTGGACTGCCCAGCTCACCAAACTATGCCCCTTGATGGTTGACAAAGCCCAACAATCAGAACTTTTTAACATTAAGTGCTAAGATATGAAATGTCAGAAAATTGACCACGGGCCTTAGGAAAAAAAAGAAGACTTACTTTCTTAAACTAGGGCATGTCTAGTAAATGCTTATTAAGAAGATATAGTTGAGACTTAAGGAATTGCAGATAAAATTTACCTTTGTAAAGGTATACTACCTTTGTAGTATAAATAAAGACAGTTTATAAATAATAGTGGTATCAGCCAGTGGTTCTGAGACATATTGGTTTCAGGATACCTTTTCACTTAAAATTATTAAAGATTCTAAATAGTTCATGTTCCTGTGTTCTTATTATGTAAGAAAATAAAACTGAGAAATTTCAAATTATAAGACCGTCCATTACATGTTAACAGATAACACATTTTAATGAACTAGATAACAAAATTTAATGATGTGTGCTGCATTGTTTTACCTATTTGCAAATCTATTAATATCAGGCTTAGTGGATGACAACTAGATTCTCATATCTGGTTATGCATCCAGCCTGTTTCCATGCATTGTTTTGGTAGAAGTATATGAAGAATATGTGGCTTCTTCCTAGACAGAAAAGGGAGAAATTATATAATAACCCTTTTGGATAATTATGGATATTCTTTGATACTACTTCAGAAATTAACAAGGAGTTGTTTCTTAAAGATAAGTCACAAAGTGGAATCTGCAACTTTGTCAGTGAACTTTCCATGATCTGTTACATTAAAATCCGTTGGTCTACCTTGTATCTATAATGGATGATTTTTACCCATGTATGATTTTATAATATCAGGCATTGGTCATTTGAAAGATATTTGTCACTGAGTTACACAAATCTAGGTGTTAACACATTTCATTTTACAGAGACACAGACACACACACACACACACACACACACACCTCCATTAATGGTTTAGTTCATTTTCTGTTGCTATAATAGAACTCCTGAGACTAATTCATAAACTTGAGGCTCTGGAGGCTGGGAAGTCCAAGGACATGACACCAGCAAAGTCCTCATATTGCTTAAACTCATAGTAGAAAATATGAGGTTAAGAGACATGTATAGAAGAGAGAACACAAGGGGAAGACTTGCTGTATAACAACCTGTTCTTGGAGTAACTAATCCAGTCCTGGGAGCCAGAAAACTCACTATCAGTAGAAAGGCATTAAATCATTCATAAAAAGCTCTACCCGCACACCTCCCCTCAGTCAAGCACCACCAAATTGACAATCAATAAGTCAAATTACCATTATTTCCAGATGACATAATCTGTTATGTAGAAGTTCCAAAAAATTCTATCAGTAGGCTCCTAGAATTAGTAACAAGATTTAGCAGTGTAGCAGTATATAAAATCACCAAATCAATAGCATTCCTGTACACGAATAATGACCTCACCAAGAAAGAATACCAAGAAATGACCTCACCAAGAAAACAATACCATTCACAGTAACATCAAAAAAATTTAAGAATTAACCTAACCAAGGAAGTGAAAGACTGCTACAATGAAAATAACAGTACTCTGATAAAGGAAATCAAGGAAAGATAGCCCCTGTTCCTGGATAGGCAGAACCAATATTGTCAAAATGGTCATACTTCCAAAACTGATATATAGACTTAATGCACTCCCGATGAAAATACCAACAGCATTCCTCATAGAAATAGAGAAAACAATTCTAAAATTCATATGGAATGAGGAGAGGCCCAGAATAGGAAAAGCAATCCTAGATAACAAGAGCAAAGCAGAAAATATTACAACCCTGATTTCAAGTTATATTACAAAGGTACAGTAACAAAAACAGTATGATACTGGCACAAAAACAGACATGTGGATCAGTGGAACAGAATAAAGGATGCACAAACAACCCTAAGTATATTCAGCCATGTGATCTTTGTTAAAGGGGCCAAAAACATACCTCATTAATAAATTGTGCTGGCCCATTCATGATAAAAACACTACAGAAATTGGAATAGAAGGTCTTTATCTCAATCTGATTAAGGCTATCTATGAAAAACCAACAGCCAACATCATACTAAATGGTCAAAAACTAAAAAATTTTAATGCTAAAATCAGGAGCAAGACAAGGATGCCCACTATCACCACTCCTGTTCAGTATTGTTCTGGAAACATTAGCCATAGCAATTAGACAAGAGAAAGAAATAAAAGGAATAAAGATAGGAAAGGAAGAAGTGAAACTATCATTATTTGCTGATGATATGATACTGTACATAGAAGACCCAAAAAACTCGGTCAAAAGCCTTCTAGACCTAATTGACAGATTCAGTAGAGTAGTTGGATATCAGGTCAACACTCAGAAGACAATAGCCTTCTTATACACAAATAGCAGACCCATTGAGAGAGAAATTCGGGAAATAATTCCTTTTATAATAGCATCTAAAAAAATGAAATATCTAGGAATCAACCTAATAAAGGAAGCAAAAGACCTCTACACTGAAAACTACAGCACTGTGAAGAAGGAGATCGAAGAGGATATAAGGAAATGGAATGACATCCCTTGTTGCTGGGTATGAAGAATCAATGTAGTGAAAATAGCCATACTTACAAAACTACTATATAGATTTAATGCAATATTGATTGAAATTCCTACAATATACTTAACAGAACTAGAGAAAACAATCCAAAAATTCATTTGGAAGCAGGAGAAACCTGGGATAGCAAAAGCAATTCTGGGCAACAGAGATATGGGTATCACAATCCCCAACTTGAAACTATACTACAAAGCTACTGTGATAAAAACAGCATGGTACTGGCAAAGAAACAGACCTGAGGATCCG